CAAGCCGTAAGAAATGGACGAATCACAATCAATTATTCTCCTCGTATTCGACTGTAGTTGGTCAATTTCTTACGGTTTAAGGCTTTAAACACCTATTATAGATCTAGACTTATAGTCGAATGCAAGGAGAATAATTCATCACAATTCGTCCATTTCTTATGGCCATCGTCCCATGAGTAGAAATTTAGGCTGAAAAACTTATCAGCTGCGTTCGGTAATGCAAATCTGAGGCGTCGGAGTGCCCTTATATTATAGCATACGTCACGTGCACTGTAGAAAAAGAGCACTCCGACGCTTCAGATTTGCACTGCCAAACGCAGTTATTGTAGATCCGGGCTAATGCAAAGGCACCTTTAGACTTTAGAACGCGATTGGCCCGACTGAACAAACATGGCGAACATTCGTACGCGGCGTTGTAAATGGCAATAAGCGAAAGCGCTTTGGCCGTTGCTGTTGGCGTGATCCGCCAAGTAAACATCGATTCGTGCATTATCGCCGCGTGCGAGGTGAACGTGTGTGTTCGTGTTCCGCTGTTGCGGAACTGACGAGAGTCGAATAATCGATCGGACCGTTCCAAGACCACTTACACATTTCGTGGAACGAGACAAAGTGTTCGCCTCTGTGAGTCAAAATTCGGAGGGTCAAATCCACGTTTCGTCGTCGTCATCGTTGTCGTCGTCGTGAGTAGTAGTTCGAACGTTGCCAGAATGGCAACGGTGAAGGATCGTAGGCGTAGCAGCGCGGGATGGCGATGCGTCATGGTGCGACATTGATTCGAGATCGATCTCCCGGCGTCGTCGCCGTTTCACGGAATTGTCCATCGGTTGACCCGCGCCTGCGGCCAGCCAACCTCGGCAGTCGAACAGCGCAATCGATAATCCCTGCGAGCGCTTTTTGCGCTGGGCGCGAGATCGTAATGGCGAGAGCGTGGCGTCGATGGACGATAGGCGGCAAGAGTGGGAGACATTGGTAAAAAAAACAATGCTGAATCGCTAGGCAGCGCGTAAGTGAACGAGACATTGCGGGCGGAGGCGCGTATCGTTGGAGCATTGGAACTTTTCGTAAGGTATAAGAGAATTAATCGAACAATTCTTCGTTTCACGAAAGGGCAAGACTCTCATTAATTAGCTGCGTTCAGGAAAAGATGCATCTTTACAACTGTTGTAAGAGTCTTTCATATAATCGGTTTTATATTTAAATCTGGCAAAGAACTAAGGACAGTAGTCAATCCTTTTAAAAGATCTGTTTGTCCTGCTTGAAGTCTCTCAAATTAAAAATGAGATAAACATTCTAGCGTTGAAGAGTAAGAAAGTGATAATGAGTGTAAAAAGTGCAAACAACGCGAACAGACCTGAAGAATCTTACAACTTTGCAACAATTGTAGAACTGCTTTTTCTACTGAACTCAATCGTAAGTTGTCTTATAGTTTGTGCATTGTACGTTACGCAAAGGTCTGTGCTCCGGTCTTATCGGCGAGCGCGATGCTCCCGCACGCCGATTCGGGGAAGGGTGTAGTCTCGGCGCGCGCTTCCGGCGCGTCAGGTTCTTCTCTCCTTTTTTTTCCCCTCGTCTCGCCGCGATGATGTGTTCGACGTTCGCACTCGTTTGAAAACGCGTCATCCACACCCGCAAAACGTGAATTCACTGACGCACGACGTTTTATTAAATAAGTGTAACGAAAGCGGGAAACGGAGCATATTTCTGAATTTCGAGTGTATGTTTCCTCAAAATTGATGAATTATTGATATTCAACTGAATTAACGACATTTCTGTAGTTGTAGTTCATAATTTATGCCAAATAGACTGATGTTTGAAAAAGAATTATAATATTTATGGAATTTCGTTCTTTGTCATTGAATTGATGTAGTAGTGGGAGGAGACATGTCAAAACTCACATTCCTGTAAAAATAGCATCGCAAAAATTCGGATTGGAGACCGATGAATTCGCGCTTTGTCCAGTATTTTTTTTCGGAAGACAAATTTAATCGATAGTTAAGATGGAATTTAGATTTACAATATAAACAGGATAGCAGACGAATTATAATTTCATTACATTTATGAATATTTCTTTTTATTGAATGTAATTTTTTTGACAACTTATTTACTTATTTTGTAATTTAAAAAATTGAAGTTTGTTGATCTTTTAAAAAATTTGCATATTTAAGTTCTTTTTTTTTTTAATTTAAGAGAAAGAATAAATTAATTTATAGCTAAAATCAACTATAATTCAAGATAGAATTATTCTATTTTTCAGATTTTATCTCAGATTTTATCTCAGATTTTATTTCAGATATTATGAATCGGAGGAAATTGGTAGAAGTATTACCTCTGTGTGATTTCAGATTGCTGACCATTTTTTATAGATGTAGACAAGGATATTATGCATATCCACTACACCTAATTGATACATCACCTTTCAAATATGGATGACGAAGAAGGAGCTTCGAGTTCTGGACCTATGTCTTCATTAAATAGCTTGTTTTCATTCACCAGTCCCGCTGTGAAAAAATTGCTCGGCTGGAAACAAGGCGATGAGGAGGAGAAATGGGCTGAGAAAGCAGTGGATTCGTTAGTGAAGAAATTGAAGAAGCGCAAAGGCGCCATCGAAGAACTGGAACGAGCACTGAGCTGCCCTGGAACGCCAAGTAAATGTGTGACGATTCCTAGAAGCTTAGACGGCAGATTGCAGGTTTCGCATCGCAAAGGCTTGCCGCATGTGATATACTGTAGAGTCTGGCGCTGGCCAGATCTCCAGTCACATCACGAATTGAAACCGCTGGATT